AATGTTCCCCCTTCTTTTACACCTCTTGACCTTTGACCTTTGACCCCCAGCTTCGACATCCCAACTCGTTTTGACGATCCCCCCCCGATGTGCCGAATATCGTGACCGTACGTCGAGCGGTTAAGATTTGTGCCCAACTGTTGACGGACGGACGGACGGACGGACGGATGATCATGCGATTCTACAAGCTGCATCTGACTATGTCAGATGAGCTAAAAATAGTCATGTATGTAACACGTTCTGCCCGTATGCGTCTCTCCCTAGATGACAAGGCCTTGTAGCCATGCAGCACATGATATAATCTGTATGTATGCTCTGGACAAATACCCCACACCCAATGTACATGCTATTAGTCATTACTACAAATATGATAGTTCCTGGAAAACGATTTGTAAACTGAAATGAGTAAGCTCATTGAATATGAATCAGCACTTCTAATACTCTGCTACTCAGAAGACTCAAGAAAAGAAATGCAAACAAGTGTTCCAAGGGGGTGGCACCAGATATTGCCCGACAGGTAGTGCTGGGGTACAAGGTTCCTGGTGGGTGTGGAAGTGGGGGGGGGGGCTCAGATGGTGAGCAGGAGCCAAAGACTAATCAAAATTAGGGAGGATTTGATTTCCCCCCAAATTGTACTGCAAGTAGTGTATTATTCTCACTTTTAATAGCAGCTAATGCGACACACATAACAATGCTAGTGCTAGATAGCTGGATGGATGGATGGATGGATGGATGGATTGATGGTTGGACGGATGGATGGGATGAACGGATAGCTGGAGGAATGGGTAGGGGTTCAATAGTTGGATAGATTAATGTGAGGGTTGATGAACGGATGGATGGTAGGGTGGATGGGTGGATTAGTTGATGTAAGGATGATTGCATGCATGGATGGAGATGGATGGATAGATGGATGGATCGATGGACGAATGGATGGATGGACGGTGGGATGGATGAGTGGGAGGGTGGATTAATGGACGGGTGGGTGGTTAAAAGTATCATGTGTGTGTGTGCAGTGCGTTTGTGGATGGATGGACGAATGGATTGATGGATGGATGGATGGTTGGATGGATGGATGGATAGATGGATGGGTGGATGGATTGTTGGATGGATGAATGAATGGATAGTTGAATAAATGAATGGATGGATGGACGATTGAATAAATGAATGAATGAATGGATAAATGGTTGAATGAATAAATGAATGAATGGATGGATGGATGGTAGCTCTAGAACTATAGCACTTCGCCCGTGGCAGAGCGAAGGGCTATATAGTTCTAGAGCTAGCTGGACGGACTTGCGGCCCCGGTTTTTGCGCGCAGCGAGCTGCGCCCCAACGCGAATACGCCGCCCCCTTTTTGTCCACTTTAGACAGATATCTGAGACAGGGGTCTGAAAACGCATTACGCGAAAACTGGGCGCAATCCAACCGACATTTCGCGATGGACAGCAGTAGGCCATCTCCAAACGGCCCCTAAACGTTTTTTGGGGTGGCGCGCCTCATGGCTAAGACGTAGTGACTCCTACAAGAAACCTCAAGAAATGCTGTCAATCAGAGACCACGCGCTCGCTCATTCACCCAAGGCCGCCGTAGCCGAGCCGGTGTAGGTGTGACGAAAACTGCGCGATGTTACGCTTCCCGCTATACGGATTCGCGCGCCCGCCCCCCTTCCGCGCGCGGAATTCGTAAAGCGGGAAGCGCGGAAAACTACATACAACACACCGCGGTCGCGTGCGCCCAGTCCCGCGGAAGTGCGCGGTTTAACCGCTCTTGGCGGTCGGGGAACAACGCATCTTTTGCGCAACGCCATCTTGTACCCGGTCTCTCTGGATATTTTTCCTC